GAAGCTCATGTACAAGCTAAAGAAACACCCATAACAATGACTGAGGATTTGGACATTGCAGAACATAATGGAAATACAACTCTAGAAAAAAGAGTTTCGAAACCCCCATTACGTTATTATGATGAATTCAATTATTAGTGGGGAGAAATGTAATGTATTTAAACAAATTGATTTTTATATTTGCTTAAAGCTACAATTTATTACAATTTATAAAAATATATATATATTTTATTATATGAAATAAATCACTTTATATTATTGTTCTGAATACATTTCAATGATCTTAAAAATAAATGCCTTAAAATGATAGACACTGATATAAATTATCGTGATATCGACTCCTCCGTAATAAATTTACAAAATAGCTATATTGTTCTTCGCAATTTGGGTTTCGCGATAATGATTTCTCTATAAAGCTTTAGTGATTCATTGATTCGCGTTATAAGTTTCGCAGTTATGTAATGGCTTAAAAGAGTTCGCGATGCAGGGTTTCGCTATATAAAAAAAATCGCTATTTAATTCGAGCGTTGTCCGCCTAGAAATTATTTTTCTTCGCACAAACAGTTCGGGTAGAATAGATTTTATTAAATTCAAAATTAAAACAATAGGATATGAATAATTGTCGCCTAACATGGCTTCTTTTCTTTTATACTTTATATACCTTATAATTCCATAAATAACAAAAAAAATAATTCTTGAAAAATACAGTCTTACAATCCAAAATCAAATAAATGCGTCAATTATTTAGCAAAACCAAATTATTGCGCGTGATAAAAATAAATATAATGAATTTACAAACAAAAACATATATATATACCGATATAATATATATATAAAAAAACATAGAACATGACAATAGTCTTCATTACTGATCAGTATTCGCGAATGTTCGATTCGCGAATAAAGTTTTTCTATAAAATACATTCACTAGACAAATGTTTCGAGAAACACAGAGTCAACACAGCGTCTATATGAGCACGGGAGAGGGTAGGGACAGCTTGCATCCATTTTTTAAAATGGGAATAGGGGGTAAGGCATTGGAGGGAGGGGGTGTAGGCTAGAGATAAGATTATATTTTGATATGAAATATCATTTAAATCAGGTTCATTATTAAAAATTTGATTAAATACTTAGAAAAAACAGGAACGAACCTTAAAAGAAACCTATTTAAATTTTCAAATCGAAACGAACCTAAGAATTGATGGAAATTTTCTAAATTAAAATAGAACTAAAATGAAATAATTTGTTCAAGAATAACTAAAACCAAATAAAACCATTTTAAAATTATAAATTAAGACGGAATAAAACTGGACCGTTTACAACGCCCTGTTTAATACAATTAAACATCTTTAATTACAAATCATAAATTGATAATAGTTGGGTGAAATAACACGAAGGGTTTAAAAAAGGATCAGAGAATTTGGAAAAAGATTCTAACTTTTTTTTAGCCTTGGTTGAAGTATAATTTGAAGGTATGATTGCCATATTTTAATTTAACTTTTTTGTGACGTATGGATTTTACTCCGGGAAGGGAGACCAAATTATTTAAAAAAAAATAATAGTTTAACTAATATTTAGATCCACTATTTTGATTTAATAAATTCGTTTTTAGGTAAAAAAATTAGCAGCCAGGAATTTTCAACGGGGGGTAAGGGGGGGGGGAATTGTAATATTTTTTATATTTAAATGATTTATTTTGGAGGAATAAAAATTTATTAGAATTAATCATCATATAAAAGAACCAATCTATTTTAAAAAATGAATATTTCGAACACAAATAGTTAAATATTAGAAAATACAAAATATTTAATGATATTAAAAATAGATATTATACCGGTATATATATCACAGTAATCAATTTTTCAATAATTTGTTCGGTGTTGGGGATTGGATCTCCATGTATATTAAGTAAAGTAAAGCTAGTTCATTAAATCAATTTTAAGAGTAATTTTGAGATAGGATTTTATTCTCTGTAAAGTTCACTCATTTGTGCCTTGACTATAATGTTGCCAAAATATACAGTAATTTTAAGTATGCTCGAAAAAACTTCAAAATATTAGGCAATATCTCCACTGCGTTTCTTAAAAAATTATTTACTAAAATTAATTTATCATGCCAAAATTTAATTCTGCAAATAATTGGTTTTCCGATATATTTATATTCTCTGAATAAAATTTAGCTAAATATTTTTATTTTTCAACATCAAGATTTTATCTATCCTCAGATAAAAAGAGTTAATATTTGTAAATTGGATGGAGCCATTTGATGAATCACGCCTTCATTGATTTGAGTCAAAAATATAACCAAAAATGGAATAAAACGGTAATTTTATAGTAAAGTCCTCTATTGATTCCATGTTAATATTGGATTTGTCTGCATAGTGCAATTATATGCTTCCGAATCTCAAAATCATATAATTTCGCTTTCGCCTCAATAATCACATAATATCTTCTAAGTTGTAATATAATAATATTCGTGATTCTTACTTAGGCCAAATCCATATCTATTTTTGAAAAATATTGCATAAAATTGTTGTGTAATTAAATATTTTATCATAAAATTCTAATGCAAAAAAAATCGGCAGACATATTGAATCTAATGTATCAGCTTTATATAAAAAAATCTCAAGAATAGGCTTTTCTAGATCCAAAAATGCTGTAACAGTTTGATATCAAAGGCTCCACACCATCTTGTCGGGCATGCTTTTTGCAAATTTTTCTTCCTGTAGCACAAGAAGTCTGAGAAAAGTTTCTATTCTGTAAATTCTGTCAATTTGGATATCTGAACATTTTATACAATCTAGAAATTTTGCCTAATCATATTTACTAGTAGAGGTAACTTAAATACCAATTTTTTTGGTTGAAAAACTTTCTTATAATCAGTAATGTTTGAGGTTTAAAAAATGAAATATATATTTAAATAAACTGTAAATTTTTGCGAGATAAAATATTATAACAAGAAATTTATTTTTTTCCCTTTAGATTTCACCCTTTTCTGGTGGTAGGCTCCTTCAAAATCTCTCTCCACTTTATGTTATTCATACAATCTCTTTTATCTAATTAATACTTTTTTATATTGGCTCTAACTTTATGGCCCCATTGAAGTTTTGGCCTTCCTCTTTTACGTTTGCCCATCACTTCCAAACTCTCAACCTTATTTCCTATGTAGTCATAGGCCTTCACATTGTGTGCCCATACCACCTAAGTCTGTTTTAACTTAGCCTTAATGGGCACTACCTTTAGACTACTTAGTATTCTTGTACTGCGCACTTTATCCTTTCTTGTTACCCCAGCAATCATCCTCAGCATTCTCATCTCCATAGTTTGTAGACTTCTCTCGTCTGATTCTTTGGTTAGCCATATTTCCGAACTATATAGAATAGTTGGTTGTACTATGGAACTAATTTTTACCATTAATTTGTGTGGGATTCTTTTGTCAGCACTCCAGATAAAGATCTCCACTTTAACCACCCTTGATTAATTTTATTCTTTATCTCTTTTTCTATTGTGCCGTTTGTTTGTATAATGGAGCCCAAATATTTGCAGCTTTCAATTGCCAATATCTGCCATTCATTTATATCAATACTCTCTGTTTCATCTCCTCCTATCACCATATACTCCGTCTTTTCTCTATTTACTTTTAGTCCGTGCTTTTCTAGGATATTTATCCAACTCACTAATATTTCTTTCATTTCATCCTTGGATTCGACAAGTATCACAATATCATCTGCAAATATCATATTCCACGGGACTGTTTGAGGTATAGACTGTGCTAATACATCTATTACTGTAATGAAGAGAAGTGGGCTGAGAGCCGACCCTTGATGAACTCCTTCGGCTATTGTGAAGCCTGTTGAAGTACCTGTTGTGCTACGGACCATTGTTGTATGGCCCATATACATATCCTGTATTATTCTTATATATTTTCTCAGGAACCTTTTTGTGGCGTAGCTCCCAACAGATAAGTTTTCTTGGGATTCTATTTTTGTTCTTTTCCCCGTATTTTTCACTCATTTGCCTAATTGCGATAGCATCAGTTGTTGATTTTCCAAACATAAAGCCAAACTGAGTATCTCCTATTTCGAGTATGTCTCTTACCTTTTTTCTATTATTTTTTCGTAAAGTTTAAGACAGTGTGATTTTGACCCTGTAATTTTGACAATATTGTGGTCCTCTTATTTTTGAAGATAGGAACTAGATAGTTCTGCCTCCATTTATGAGAGACCTCTTTATTTCCCAGTATTTTATTGTACAGATTTGTGAGGTGATGTATTCCATCATCTCCTAGTACTTTAAGGCGTTCTATTGGAATATCGCCTGGACCCCTAGCTTTGTCGTTTTTCATATGCTTGAGACATGTGATTATTTCTTGTTATGTTTTAGGTTGTATAAGGTTTTGTCATGGGGTGTTCGTCTTGATGTAGTATGTGGGGATTAAAGTTGAGAAACTCATGAAAATATTCTTTCCATCTATTCATTATTTCTTTATCCTTTATTAACAATTTCCCATATTTATCTTTGATTAATTTCGGAGCTCGGTTTATATTCCTAGAGTTCTTTTCCCGCTGTTTGGCTAATCTGTATATTTTATTTTGCCCTTCTTTGGTATGTAGTTCTTCATACATGTCATCGTATGCCATAGATTTGGCCCTAGCCACCGCCTTTGTAGCTATTCTCTTGGATTTTTTGTAATTTGTCATGTTATCTAAGTTTTTGGATTTGAACCATATTTTATATAGGGCTTTTTTCTCCTTTATAGTGGTTTGTACATCTTCATTCCACCACCATAGTTCTTTGTATAATTTGTTGCCTCCCCTTGTCAAGCCTAGTGTCGATTTGGCAGTGTCTATTAATCTGGATGAAAGGTCTGTCCACATTTTTTCGCTGACTTGTGAGGAATCTATTGTTTCAATGTTTGCATTGATTGCAAAGGCATCTGTCATTGTTTTTAATTTGCCCCATTTGATGCATGGTTCCAGTTTTATCTTGTTTTGAGTGAATTTATTTGACTAGTAGCTTGTGTTCGGCGATATCTTCTCCTTGGATGACTTTGCAGTCTATTAAATCTTTTAATCTTCTGCGAGAGATTAGCAAGTAATCTATCTGTGTTTTCCTTGTAGCACTTTCGCATGTTATTAAATGACTGTCTTTTTTCCTATAGTAGGGGTTGGTTAAGGCAAGGTGGAAGGCTTGCGCAAATTTCAGTACATGCTCTCCTTCATCATTCCTTTCTCCATATTCAAAACCACCATGATGCCTTTTGTAGCTGTCTCTTGGTTTTCCCACATGCGCATTTAAGTCTTCACCTATTATGACTAGGTCATCCTTAAGGATTTCTATTACAGCTTTATCAAGGATAGCTCTAAAGTCATCTTTCTCCTCTTCTTTGCAACCTGTTTGAGGAGCATATATTGAAAGGATGTGTAGTATTGATTGACCAATGCAGAGTTTTATTTTTTATTAGTCTATCAGAGATCCTGTTGACTTCAACTACTGAGGAGAAGGTTAGATCTTGACTGAGGATGATACCGACACCGTTCCTATTGCTAACAATTCCATTATAGTACGATTTACACCCATTTCCAATTATTAAAGTCTTCTGACCTTTCCATTCCTTATATTGTATGCACGCTATATCAACTTTTCTCTTATTTATCGAAGCCAATTCTCTCGTCTTACCTTTAAGTGTACCAATATTCAAATTTGCTAACCTTGTCCTCTTTGCTTTGATATTTATTTTAATTTTCACAGGATGGAGGTCTACACCTTGCGCGTCGCTTGAAGGGAACGCCCTAGATTTCATATTGATATTTTTGTTTGTTTCCTTCATTTTTGTTTGTTTCCTTCATTTTTGTTTGTTTCCTTCATTTTTGTTTGTTTCCTTCATTTTTGTTTGTTTCCTTCATTCTTGTTTGTTTCCTTCATTTTTGTTTGTTTCCTTCATTTTTGTTTGTTTCCTTCATTTTTGTTTGTTTCCTTCATTTTTGTTTGTTTCCTTCATTTTTGTTTGTCTCCTTCATTTTGTTGGATTATGCAAAGTATATTTATGGAACAAAGATAATTTAAATGATGGATTTTATTTTATGCAAAACAAATTTTACTTTTTTTTATAGTTTATGTAACAAGATTAATTTAAATGATGGATTTTATTTTATGCAAAACAAATTTTACATTTTTTTTATAGTTTATGTAACAAGATTAATTTAAATGATGGATTTTATTTTATGTATTTGTTCTTCCAAAAATTATAATTTTACTATATAAATAGCAATTGTTTTTTACACAAAATAAATTGGATGACATTTTGAAGATAAAATTAATAAAAAAGGAAAGAGTTAATAAAGAAAAGGTAAATATACAATTTGATAAATTAGAATTATTATTATATATAATTAAGGTACTCAAGGGTAAGTAATTAAACATCATTATTATTAGAATTAATCTTTTATTTTAATAAAGAAAGATTTAACAAACTTTGAATTCTTAATTGCTCTCCCACTACTGAGTAAACACCCAGATGTAAGTTCGGATTTATAACACATTTTTGTTTGTTTCCTTCATTTTTGTTTGTTTCCTTCATTTTTGTTTGTTTCCTTCATTTTTGTTTGTTTCCTTCATTTTTGTTTGTTTCCTTCATTTTTGTTTGTTTCCTTCATTTTTGTTTGTTTCCTTCATTTTTGTTTGTTTCCTTCATTTTTGTTTGTTTCCTTCATTTTTGTTTGTTTCCTTCATTTTTGTTTGTTTCCTTCATTTTGTTTGTTTCCTTCATTTTTGTTTGTTTCCTTCATTTTTGTTTGTTTCCTTCATTTTTGTTTGTTTCCTTCATTTTTGTTTGTTTCCTTCATTTTTGTTTGTTTCCTTCATTTTTGTTTGTTTCCTTCATTTTTGTTTGTTTCCTTCATTTTTGTTTGTTTCCTTCATTTTTGTTTGTTTCCTTCATTTTTGTTTGTTTCCTTCATTTTTGTTTGTTTCCTTCATTTTTGTTTGTTTCCTTCATTTTTGTTTGTTTTCTTCATTTTTGTTTGTTTCCTTCATTTTTGTTTATTAGACAAGTTTCTTTAGCACACTGCTGTCCAAGCCTGTCGGTGACCGGTGAGTCATCTCTAAGCTCCGAAATTTATCTTACAATATGACTTTCATCAGTCATTGAAGAAAAAGATTAAAAAAAATTTACGTTTCTTATCAGGATTCTGGGATTCTGTTTTCAAGCATACAACATAACCTTACCAATAATACTATCCATACAATACCAATAGAAAAATATACTAGTATTAATATAAACCTTCTTATAATAACTGGTGCTAGGGATTTAATTAATGCTCTTAGGATAAGACAATACATAATTGGTTTGTCTCAAGATCAAAAATAAGAGGCCCGTAGTTCTTTGTATCAAATAGTACAATAATATACCGGAATTAAATTTTGTACTGACAGCCTCCTATGATCTAACATAATAATAAACTTGGATTCTCTAAACATTTTATTTACGCTAATATTTATCAGCATTTCTATTGCTGTTCTTATTTTTATTTATATCTCTATGAAAAAATTAAATTTCTAATTATAAATTTTTTTTTATGTATAAATATAGTAATACAGTGATTACTCTTATCAATAAAATTTTAGGGACTTTTTTTAATTATTTTAAATTGTAAGTCGTTTTTCTAATAATTAAAATAAAAAAAGCTATAAAAAATAATTAGTAAAATTATTCGAGATAAATGTAAAAAAAGTAAGGTTAGAAAGACTAGGCCTTATCAAAAAGATTATATTATTTCGTTAATTTGAAAATGAATTCCAAATAATAATTTGAAATTAAGATAAACTTGATTTTTATCTCGTTATATTTTACGAAAGAATTAATCTTTTATTAGTTTAGCCAAATCAATCTAATCCGATAACTACTGACGAATTATTAATTGATATTGGAACTGACTTTTCAAATAAAATTTTTTAATCTTATTATATTATTATATAGTTTCTTTAATGTGCAAATGATTTATTATGCATATAATTATATACTATTAATAATAGTTGGTATTACAAAAGCTCCTATAACTTTTTTATATTTCTAAAAATCTTTTATTTCAACCATTTTAAAATGTTAGTGTATGTATTAATAATCATAAAACAGTTCAATTTTAGCATAATAAAACTATTTGAGTACAAAAGTACCTTAAATTTAAAAGAAATAATCTATATATATATAATATTACAATATTACAATACTAATACAACACTAGAAAAAAAAACTTTATCTAAAAATAATCGTTTTAAATATATTTTATAATAATTGGTCGGGCATTATTAAAATAAAACATTTCTCTCTTTAGCTCTTAAAAAACGCTAAGAATGGCATTTAAATTAGGTGATTTTTCATAACTCAAATTTCGGTTCAATGATAATAAAAATTAAACGTCTAAAATAGCTTAAAGGGGATTGGAAAAATTCATTAGATAGATTAGAAGGTTTAAATTTTAATAAATATAAAATAAAATTTTAAAGATTTTAAACAAGGAGTTATGTTTTCTGGGATTTTTGTCTTTGTGAATTTTTAAAATTTGATACAATATTTATTAGTAAATACATTTGTGATTATTTTTCTTTCATAAATTTTTGGCATTTTAAAAAAAAAAAAATTATAGAAAACTGTGAATAATGAAAATATTTAGTTCGGCAATTATCCCACCTGCCATATCCCCGAAAACAAAAAACTCATTGTTAAAATCTTTAAGATTTTATTTAATACTTGTTAAGGGGTCAAATGTGTCCACAACCACTTTCCCTCTCTTTTAACGCTTATATCCATTTTAATATGCTGATTTTAAATAAATTAAATACTAAATAAACAAAAAATATCTAACACACTTTTATTTTACTTTTAGTTTAAAAGAGGTTATTTTTGACATTAAAATATTTTAAAAGTGTCCGAAGCTGAAATAAATTTTTTATATATAGACCTATTTAGGTTATAAATTTTAAATCTCAAAGTCAGATAATACGATGATTGTATGTTTAACCCATGTCTCACATAGCCACAGTCTCCCCTATATAAATATAAGACAAAATTGATTAACCCTTAATATCTAAAGTATAGAAGTATATAATACTGTAATTTTATAATTAATTTTATTTTTATTAATTAATCACTTCAAATATGCAGACTATATTAGATTTGTAAAATTAAATTATGTTTTGTATATATCACTCCAAATATATTTGCAGCCATTTTAGATTAAAATATTTATTTGCATTAGATTTCTTTCAAATATATATTTTTATTTAAAATACATCATTATCTAAAACATCAACGAACTGTCTTAACTTTAGAAAATATATAGGAATATATATTTTCATTAAATCTAGCGAAATCTTCAAGTGCCAATTAAACCTTTTGCAATTTGTAGACATCGGTATTTTAAAATCTAGAATTTTGAATTTAAATTTAATGATTATTAGTAAAAATTTTAGGTACAGTCATAAATTATCACTACGCTAGTAATTCTGCAATAGACAAAATGTAGTATCAACTACCCTTAGTATTTTTAGGTAACACAATTTTGCAATCCACTAATAGGAAAACATAAGAAAAAAATTGGAACCGGGCCTAGACTGCTATTTACATATGTCAAGGGGGTAAACTAAATTTAAATCGAGTTAGGCTTAAAAATTTTGCTTTGTAGACTTTAATGGATTCTATTCAGGCATATCTCTATTTGATAAGTTGTTGTGTTATTTTAGTTTTTCGGTAAAAAAAAATTTGTTAGAATTTTACTTATTATTTATTAAAAAAAGTATTAAATAGTTGCATAATTATAAATGATATAAGAATTTTATAAAAATTAAATAACATCGGGCTAATATGATTATCAAGGAATGGGGTAGCTAGGAACGGGGTAGCTAGGAACGGGGTAGCTAGGAACGAGATAATTTAAATGTTTATTTTTTTTGAGATCCATTCCCCTCCTTTGATCTGGTCTCCTTCGCCAAACTCTAAGTAGGGATATTTTATTTGAAAATATTTATTTTATTTTCCCTTTAATATTATTGTTTTACAATTATTTTATTATGTTTTTTTTTATACTTTAAAATAAAATTAACCTGCGTATTACGAATAAAATTTATGATATCATAATATAATATTAAGTTTAAAACAAATTTATCTTAGCTTGTGTATCAATTTTTATATCATCGAGAGGTTAAATGCTATAAGTAAACACGAGTAGGTTTAACCTTAAATCGATTAAATATTTTAAAATTTTAGAAGAATGAATATTAAATAAAAATTTTATAATATCATAATATAATATTAAGTTTAAAACAAATTCATCTTAGCTTGTGTATCAATTTATTATATCATCGAGAGGTTAAATGCTGCAAGTAAACACGAGTAGGTTTAACCTTAAATCGAGTAAATATTTTAAAATTTTAGAAGAATGAATATTAAATAAAAAATTTTATATCTTCAGAGTATTAAATATGACTATTTCTAAACCTCAAAACAAGGAATAAACTTTCACTTATTCTACCCCTTTATATTCTGAAAGGAGGTGGTAATGTTTAGTTGTTTAGTTATTTAGTTAAGAAATCTTTTAGAAATTTGTTTATTGTATTGAAGGTGTTTAAGGAGATTTCAACACAGGTTAGATAATCGGGTTGTACTGGCGGTTATACCGATTCTTCCCTTGTGCAAGAAGGGGTAATGTTAGCTCTGTCTTCCTTTGCTGTTAGTATTGAGCATCTAAATGGGATACCAATGCGCTAGTGAGTTCATTTTTGTGAAACAGAAATAATTAAAGATAAAATATCAACAATGATTTAATTAAATTT